GGCGCGCGCTACCACACCCAGTTAGTTTTTTAAAAATTTATTGTAGAGATGAGGTCTCGCTAAGTTGCCCCAGCGGGTCTCAAACTCGCGGGCTCAGGCAATCCACTCGCCTTGGCCTCCCAAAGTGCTGGGATTACAGGCTGAGCCACCGAACCCGGCCGGATTTTATCTTAAGGGGATAGGTTCCAGTTGAGAAGTGGTGGGGCTGAGGAGTCTGAGAAGAGAGGAAGTTTAGCCAGAGAAGGGTAAAGAGAAGATGCGAAGTTGTAGAAAAGGGAGGGGGAGGCACCAGAGTGAAGAAAGGTTGGGCCTCTAAGGCCTTTTTATCCCCTTTTAATTGTGTTTGTCTCGTACCTTGAGATAGTATTTTGCAGTGAGTCACTTTTTCCTGAATGTGCTTAGAAGTCTCAACTGAAATACATGTTCCATTCAGGTTGTTTAACCCTGCAGCCACAGTTTCTACTTTAGTTCTAAGAAAAACCAATATTGGGGAGTTTGAATGATCTCCATTATGGCCATTGAAGTTCTAAATTTTCCTTGGTGTAATTTGTCCATCAACCAGTTTTAATGTTTGAACACATAACTGGCTGAAGTCCCTAAAAGGGGACTATCTTTGCATGCCTTAAATTTTGGGAATCCCACTATGTTTGTTTTAGAGACAGAGTTTCATTCTGTCACCCAAACTAGAGAATAGTGGTGCAATCACAGCTCCTTACAGCCTCGAACTCCTGGGCTCAAATACCAAATCCTAGCTTCCTGAATAGTTGGGTCGACAGACGTGCCACCACCAATTAATGTTTAAATATTTTTATAGAGAGCGGGTCTCACTATGTTGCCCAGGCTAGTCTCAAACTACTGGCCTCTGATCCTCTCGCTTTTACCTAACAAAACATTGGGATTACAGATGTGAGCTACTATGTTCTGTTTAAACAGGAAAAATTTAACTCACCAAAAATCTTTAACTAGGTGCACAGGCCAACCAAAAATGAAACCAAAAAGGTACTCACCAGAAAAAAAAAGTCCTTTTATAAAGACTACATAAGACCAGATCCCAAATAAAGTCTGAGAACTCAAGCAAAGGGAGGGAGTTGGACCCAAGAAAGGACTCTCCATCCAGCCAAAAGAGGACTCAGTTGTGGAGATCACAATGGGCACAAGTGGTACCATCACGTGGTTCCAGGAGTTGTCAATCTAGAAAAGCCTTGTCCTCTCTGGGCCCCACGTTTTTGTTTTTTTTTTTAATTGGACTCTCACTCTGTTGCCCAGGCTGGAGTGCAGTGGCATGTTCATGGCCACCACAGCCTCGACCTACTGGGCTTAGGTGATCCTTCCATCTCAGCCTTTCAAGTACTGAAACTACATCCATGAGCCACCATGCCTAGCTAATTTTTTTATTTACTGTAAAGATGAAGTCTTGCCAAGTTGCCCAGGTTGGTCTTGAACCAGTGGGTTCAGGCAGTCCTTTCACCTTGGCCTCCCAAAGTGCTGGGATTATAGATGTGAGCCACCACACCCAGCCTGGGTCCCACTTCTAACAACAGATTATGTCAACCCAAAAAGAAACTCAGAGAGACAGACTTTCCAGAACAAATGAGTTTATTTGGGAATAGCAGAAGATTGCACTCCAGGATATGTGTGCTATGATGGATCATTGGCATATGGGGGCAGGAGGTCGGGGGAAAGGGGAAACTTTGAAAGACAAAGAGAAGTCCGCATAAGCTGCTTTGAAACAAAGTTCTTAGGTCACAGAAGCTCACTGCTGTTGCCCTTGTTCATTGGTGGAGACGGCCATTGCTAGGTGAGTGTTCTTGTGCAAGTGGCGTATCTAAAATGCTGAGGACGTTTTAGTGTTAAGTCCTGTTACCAGACTATGTGTAGGAGTGTCTTGCAATAAGTCCTGTTACAGGCCTGTGTGCATGAGGACTTCTTCCTCATGACTTCCCCTGACTTTGTTTTGTTAGAGTTTGACACAAGTGACTCCATTTTGGTACCAGCAACTTTCATGGAGCTTTTGGTTGTCTTTGTATTGATTTCTAGGACTTGCCCTGTGCTCAGACTTTATTTGGGATCTGGTCTTATATAGACTTTGTAAAAAGACATTTTTTTCCTGGTGAGTACCTTTTTGGTTTCATTTTGGTTTCATTCAGACATTGATCTGTGACATCTGCTGCCATTTCCTTATCATGGACCAGTGTCATGGGTTCTCCAGGACAGAAGATCTGGGCGCTGAGCACATGCACTCATCTCGAAGGAAAGTATATATATAGTCACTCATTCTCTCCTCCACATGCCATTCAACACCACATCCTGCTACTGATTCTCCATCTAAAGACGAAGGTGCCAAAACAACGTATACACATTTTAAGCAAGGAAAAAAGCTGTATTAAAATTGTAATACCCAATATATACAATAACCAAAGATGAATACAAGTCACATTTGACTTCTGCAATTACAAGAGGCACTGAAAGTGGTTATTATCAGCATCCAGACACTTCTGATTACTACGAACTAAAAGTAATACATAGCTAACATCTTTTAAAATGTGGGCACATTCTTTTGACACCCCCAGTATTTTTTCTCATCTACTCACTTCTTTTCTCATCTACTCCTACCCTGGTCCACAGCTGCTGTTACTTCTTCCCTGGACCACAGCTACCTTTCCTCCTCCATCCACTCATTCCTGACTAGTATCAAACCAAGTGCACACCAAACAATCCTCAGTCATCTCACCCTCTAACTGGAGAGGCCTTCAGTAAATAAGTAAAGCAATAAATATATATGATGAGGGTCAGGGGGTGATGCATGCATGTGGGGGAGGGAGCTTAGAGATGGTGGCATTGCCTTGAAGTCTCTACCTACCCAGATCCTAGCCTCATACTTCAACATCATGGGCACCTTTACCTTCTTTTAGGGACAGCCAGAGTAATATTTTTGAAATACAACTCTGCTGCAAAGAGAGAGTCCACTGACATTTCCCACAATTAGGATCCTGGACACCATCTCCCAAGGTGAAAAAGTCCCACATAGTCTGATGCTGGCCACACAGGCACTGTGCTTGGTACTCACTGGGGTTATTTTCTTCAGTCCTCAGAACAGACCTGTCATGTGATGCTGTAATTTCCATGACACAGCAGGGAAACTGAGGCTCAAACCCAGTGTGGTGACCGAAGCAGCCATTGAACCCAACTTTCTGTGGGCCTTTTCCTCTTGTGATGAGCCTTGCTGGAATCTTCCTAGACATCCCGTGTGCATGCAGTTCCTTTGTCTGGAAGGCTCAGGGGCCAAGAGACTTAGGAAGAGACTAGGAGACGGATGTGTCCCAGGTGCTGACCAGGGAGCTGAGACCAGAGGGTCGAGGTCACTTTGGCTAAGCGGGTCCTGAGTCCAACCCTCTGCTTGGTGCTCTGCTCACATGACCAGCCTAGGAGTTGCAGCAGGGGAGTCTTCCCAGGGAAAGAGATGCCTAAACAGCTTGTCTGGGGGAAGTAGTGAAGAAGAATATTCCCAGAAAGTTGGGAACCAGCATATCAGACATCTGGGGCACAGTGGGACAGCAGCTGGAGGAGGGCATGCAGGGCCAGATTGGAGACTCTGAAAGTCAGCCCTGGACCCAAGAGATGGAGCAATAGGAACATCAGGAGGGGCAGTGGGAACATCAGGAGGGGCTCAGTCAGGAAGGGAGCCCACCCAACTTCCACTTCAGGCTTTGTGGGCTTGTGCAGATAGGGGGCAGGGCTGTGCCTGGAAGCAGGGGCAGCTGTGTCTTCGACAGACAGGCTGCATAGTTGGCAAGGCCCAGTGCAAAATGAAAATACAGGGCCCTAGCCGGGTTCGGTGGCTCAGCCTATAATCCCGCGCCTTTGGGAGCCTGAGGTGAGTGGATTGCCTGAGCCAGCGGGTTCGAGACCCGCCTGGGCAACTTGGTGAGACCTCATCTCTACAATAAATAAAAAACTAGCTGGGCGTGGTAGCATGCGCCTGTAGTTCCAGCTACTTGGAAGGCTGAGGCGGAAGGATTGCCGGAGCCCAGCAGGTCGAGGCTGCGGTGGCCGGGAGCGGCCACTGCACTCCAGTCTGGGCGACAGAGTGAGACTCCAACTCAAAAAAAAAAAAAGAAAGAAAGAAAGAAAGAAAATACAGGGCCCTTGTTTAAAACTCAGTAAAAACTTCAGGATGGTGACAGCAGAGCATTAAGCTGGGAACAGGGCTTTACATGTCTGCCCAGGTCACATGCCCAGGAGGCAGTGGCAGGCGGGGAGAAAGGTGGTGCTGTCTTTAAGATGAGATGCTGCAGGACATAGTCATTGCCTGGCTGGAGGGATGCAGGCCATTAGGAAGTGAGTGGAGACTGACACAGATGTTGCCGATCCCCAGGTCTGGACCTTGGGAGCAGGTAGGTGGGGGGGGACGGGACCCTCAGTGCTGAGGTCAACAGCACATGGCTGAGATTCAGTCAGTTCAGTGTTGGGGATAAAAGGAAGTCTCACAGGGGATACACAGGCCAGAAGGTGCTGAAGATGGAGCCCAGGATAATGAAGAAGGGGCCTCCATGCGGCAGAGAAGGAGCAGGGAAGGGAGCCAGGAGGCCTGGGAAAGACCCTGAAACTCCTAGACCAGGCAACCCTGGAGGCTTTAGGAGTCCCACGCTCCCTGTCCTCAGTCTCTGGTGGCCTCGGTCCATTTCCAAATTCCTGGAGGTGGATGAAGCAGATGTCAAGGATGGAGTGTCCTCTTCCTCTCCTGTGGCTAAGGCCCCATTGGGGGACTTTGGGGAACTACTTGCCCTACCTAAGTTAGGCCTTGGGGACCTTTCCATCAGGCTCTGCTCACTGGGGTCTTCTATCCCAGACCCTTCAGACCTGTCTCCCAGGACACCTCTATCTGCACCCCTTTGATCACAGTCCTCCTGCAGCCTCGTGTGCCCCTTAGTCTTTCCGTTGCCTGCCGGTGTGGGGGAGGTATGGGGCAGGAGGGTCCCTGATGACCGCTCTCCCCACAGGCCTCCCTGAACCCCAGTGACCACAAGCTGGACGAAGAGCTATGCCAGACGCTCACACAGCGCTACGTGAGCATCATGAACAGACTGCATAGTCTGGGCTATAATGGACAGGTGCACCCTGCACTGACAGAGCAGCTGGTAAATGCCTACGGCATCCTTCGCGAGCGGCCTGAGCTGGCAGCCTCTGAGGGCGGGTCCTACACGGTGGATTTCCTGCAGCGAGTGCTGGTAGAGACCGTGCACCCCAGCATGCTCGCGGATGCATTGCTGCTGCTCTCCTGCCTCAACCAGCTGGCACACGACGATGGCAAGCCCATGTTCATCTGGTGACACTGGTACCCGGCTGGCCCAGGCTTGCTCTGCCCCATACCCCTGTGCACCACTATTAAAGCTTCCCACAGATGCTGGCCACTGCATCCATGCCAGCACTCCTCTGTGGTGGCTCACTGGGCCATTGCTCCACACCCCTTCAGTCCTGACTGCCCTGGAAGTCCACGCCCATCCTGGGGCCTAGAGACCAAGGCCTATCAGCTATCTGGCTGGGGTGAAGGTTAGTCTGAAGGCCCCCAAGCTCCCCTCACTTGGCTCTGGGAGCAGCAGGAGCTCCTGAGACTTGGAGCAGGAATCAGGATGGAGTGGAGTAGTTAGGGAAGGGCTGTAGCTCTGTGCCAGCAGCAGCCTTGAGTGGCACAGAGCTGGAAGCTCAGTGCCAAACCAAAAGCAGAGGTGGGAGGAGACAAGGATGTGAGTATGCTCGTTCTTCCCTCCATACTAGACAGAGGTTGGGGGAGGGGGTCTTCCGGATCTTGAAGAGAGTGGGGCATCAGAGGAAAGAGAGCCAGGAGAAAGCAACCTCACCCAAACCCAGGCATGGGGCAACCCAGAAAAATGGCAGCCCCTTCCCAAGACACCCAGGGTCCAGGAAAAAGAGGTTCACTCCACAAGGTCCCAGAGACCTGGGGTGGGGAATTCAGGGGAGGAGCATGGCGGGATAGGGTAGCAGAAGGTGCAATGGGGGTAGGATGGGGTGCTGGGAGGTAATCTGTAGACTGTGATAGGAAGGGCTTGTAGATAGTGCAGGAAGCTAAGGGGTGTCGGCCAGGACAGGCTGGTCCTGAAGAGGAAGTGCATGAGGAGAAGGGCAATGTGGGCCTAAAAGTGAAAAAGGAGAGTCCCTACCTGAGGGAAGCCTGGGCTGCGATGGGGGGAAGGGTGATAAGGACCCTAACTGAGCACCAGTGCATGCCAGCCAGCCGGCGAGGATGGCAGAAGAGAACAAAGGAGCCACAGGGTCTGGGTCCAAATGGGAATCTTGTCAGCAACCAGCAAGAAGGAGTCCAGGGACAGGCAGAGTGTGTGGGATATGCTGGGGCCCTCCCAGGATGTCCAGGACCCTAAGCTTGCTGCCTCTCTTCCTTCCCTACTCCTAGACCCCCTGAGATTTCAGGACATCCAGTCAGATAGCTGAGCCTCTTGTTCAGTCCCTGGGAAAGGCAGGGAAGGACTTGACAAAATCCCCACCTCCCTGCCAGCCAGGGTGAAGGATATCCCTGACCCCAATGCCAGGGCTATTTAAGAGACATTTGTACCCAGTTGACAACAAGAGTAGGTGCTAGTTCACAGCCCTCATTAGAAAGGTAATCCCAGCACTTTGGGAGGCTGAGGTGAGATTGCCTGAGCCCACGGGTTCCAGACCAGCCTGGGCAACAAAGCGAGACCTCATCTCTACCATACATTAAAAAACAAAATTAGCTGGGCGTGGTGGTACAGTAAGTAGTTCCAGTGACTTAGAAGGCTGAGGCAGAAGAATCACCTGAGCCCAGCAGGTCGAGACTGAGGTGGCCGTGAGCATGCCACTGCACTCCAGCCTGGGCAACAGAGTGAGACTCCAACTCAAATAGGAAGGAAGGAAGGAAGGAAAGAAGGAAGGAAGGAAGGAAGGAAGGAAGGAAGGAAGGAAGGAAGGAAGGAAGGAAGGAAGGAAGGAAGGAAGGAAGGAGGTAGGAGCCCAGCAGCACCTGGGAGTTCCTGGCTGAACTGTCCTGGGAAGCACCGGAACAGGTGCCTAGTGCTCCCTCAATGGGGAACTGGGGAACCTGAGGAACTTGGCTTCTGGCCGGCTCACGTGCCTTGGCTGAGCACTGCGCAGGGCCGAACCAACGGTCCCTCTCCCCCAGACTGGAAGCTCCTTGGGATAGGGTCACCACTGCCAGCCAGCATTTTGGGGGATTTTGCCGCGCTGGACGGGAGGCTGGTTAGGCCACTCCAAGACCATCCTCCATCTGGAGTCGGGTCTTTGAACTCAGGTGCCAGACACTGGGGGGCAGCAAAGAGTCGTGTTGCGGGGGAGGCCGGGGTGGATTCTGCCATCTGGGCAGCCAGAGCGCACAGCCTATTCCATGCTGATTTGAGGGGTTAGGAGTGGGGGTTTGAGGAGCGGGATGCAGCGCACACAGCTCTCTCTTCCCCAGCGCTGCGACGGCTCAAACTCAAGAAGGGTCTCCCTCCACTTGATGCTGGGTGTACCCCGGATCCCGCTTGCATTGGGCCGGGCTCTGAGGTTTTCCCCCTGCAGCCTTCAGGAGTGGATGAGGCCAGGCAATGGGGATCTGAGAGGGTCGGGCTGTGCGGTCAGGGTCCCTTTCGTTTTTTTCTTTTGTTCTCCCCAACGGCCGCCCAAGTCGCACGCGTTTACCGGACTGCGGCTTCCGGAAGCGCCCCATCTGCCTACGCCCGAAAGTACGCCAGGCGCGCTCTGCGCTCAGGTAGCGCCACGTGATCTTGCCCCTGCAGCTGGCGGTGATACGCGTATTAGTCGATTTGCTTTCTGGAAGCGAATGAGTCTCTCGTGGGCCAGAGAGCGCCGTACGCCATGCAATCCCCGCCCGACTGGCCCCCGGCGCCCGACGCCCTGCGGCCGTCGCCCTTCCCGCATCCGGTGCTGCACGCCCTCCACGGCGTGGCCCGCGTGCTGCTCTTTCCGTCCTACTGGGCCCTGGATCAGCTGCTGGGCTGCTGTGCACCAGCGGCACGCCTGAGATGCCTGAGAGCGGCGGCGGGCGGCGGAGCGGCACTGCTGCTGCTGCTGCTGGTCGGACTGCCCCTGGCACTGCCCGGCCTACTGCTCTGGCTGCCGCTGCAGGCTTGCCGCCGGCCCTTCTGCTACCAGCCCCCTCCGCTGTGCTGGGTGCCGCCCGCACCCTGGCGCCCGCCTGCTGAGCTCAGGCGCTGCTTCGTTTTCCTCACAGCCAATCTGTGCCTGTTCGCTGATGGGCTGGCACGCTTCAGCAACCTGTGGAACAGCCAGCGGCGGGCGGAG